TGCACCCGTTACCGTGCAGGCAGCGAAGCACGGAAGGTCTGCGTGCAGCTTTACTTTGCAGCAAACTAAAAAAAAAGAAAAATAATCAGAGTTTAGCCCCAGTCCGTGTGAGAGAGAACCGTTTTCCAAATTTCACAAAATCTCTGGGATTTCAGAGGGACTTCTGCTTCTTACGTAGGCTATACAGTGGAGGTGGGCGTGATGAGGGGTGGCTGAACAGGGAAGCGCTCAACCTTCAGGGAAGCCCTGCGCAGGGGTGGGCAGGGGGAGAGCCGTCCCAATACCCCGTAGAGCGCTGTGTGCTGGCGAGCCAGGCTCCCTGCCGAAGCCGCACACGCTTCTGTGGAGACCCACGAAGTGTCCGCGGAGCCCGGAGAAGCAGGTGTGGGTCCTGCAGCCCTGCTGAATCTTGGGGCATGGTGGTTTCTGTGGAGCATTTCTGGATCAGACTGTGCTGTCTCAGGCTTGGTGTTGCAGGTTGACTCTCGGGACAAAAAGAAACCTGACTAACACAATATGGGACATTTTGGTTGATAATATTGGGAGTGACGTGTGAGACTTAGTAACCTTTCCATCAGAACTGAATATGTGCTTATTTCAAAAATTTTGATGGGTACATGGTTGTGCATTCTTGGGCAAAGGTTGAGTTACTGAGGGGTGTGTGTGTGTTCATGATTTGTTTTAATAACCTAAAGGGAAATAATGTTTGAAAATCAAAAGCTATTACTTAACAGCTAGTCAGGTCGATTTGATCACAAAATCTGTTATATTCTGTGTACACAGTAAACATAGTGAATTCTTTACCAAAGTTGCTTTTCTCGTTAAATTACATTATAAGGAGATTTCTGTTTTTTCCAGTGAAGAAGAACCAAGCTTAAAGACAGAATTATGCTTTCTGCTGCTATTGTTAAGTTTTACATCTGCTTATGTGCATGATTCACTCCAGGAATAAATTACTTTTCAGCCAAGATCCTGAGGGGAAATATATGACAGTATAGTAGAGATACAAACATTTCAAAATACGTTTAGGTGGTTCAGCCATTCTTGGTAGTGCTAACTCTGTTTTTAGTCAGTGAATTGCAGTCACTTGACAGTAATGAAGCTTTAAATGCATCATTGAAAATTATATTTTCAGCCTAATTCCTCTAGCTTGTTGTGATGGCTGTGCCCAATGTGTGCCTTCGACCCAGGCTGAAACCTGTAAGGTTTATCCTGCCTGGAAGCTTAGAGAAGCTTTGAGAAACTGTGTTAAGGACCCTAAACCATTGGAAATAGTGTCTTAAATTGACTGACAGAGAGGCCTGATTGCTCTTCACTAGTGACTTTGTCAGTAAACCCAGTTTCTTTCACAAACTGTTGCTTCTGGATTAAAGTGCGGTGGTTGACTCAGTGAGGCAATTTATCTGCAGTGCCACCCAAGTTTGCTACACTGATAAACTCTAAATTATGATTTGTGTGATTTCTTTGCAATGATTCCTCATCTTCTGGCCCAGTGAAAGCTGAGGTGGAACTACATATCATGAGTGGTTTCAGCTTCAAGAAATGTTGTCTGTCTTTCAAAGATTTTGACCTGATGCGAAATGTACCCAAAATGGGCAAAGTAGAGTTTGCCTACGCATGACTAGTGTCCGATGCCTGGGAATGTAGAGCTTTGCGGCAGCAGGGAAGATAAAGTGGATGCAGAGAAGGTTTTTCCACAGCCCTGTATTCAAGTAACTTTTCTTTGTTTTTCAGGTCTCGGAAACTGAAAGGCTTTCATATGTGGGGAATAACTTCGGCAGCGGAGTTATGAAATGTAACTCCCTATGCAGGTATGGGTTGTTGACAAATGGGGGCAGGAATGTGGAGGTGGAAGTAGAGGAATTGCTCAGGTACGAAGTTCCTCCTTAGCCTGACTTAAAGCTGCCTCAGAAGTTCCCACTGAGGCTGTGATTTGAATCAAGAGGATTTTGCCAGGAAACTCCAGCACCTGGCCACTGCATTGTTTGTGCATGTTACATCCCTTTGGAAGTTGTGATGTTACATGCAGATAGAGTGTATTTGAAAAGGTCTTGAGAGGGTAAGCGAGGAGATGATTTGATGTAGCTGAAACCGGAATAACAGCTTTGTTATTAAGAAACTAAGATTAAGAAATTGCCAAGATCATCTTCTGCTGCCCAGGAAACCCCTGGCTCATTAATCACCATTTAACTTCAGAGCCGTGGCACAATGCTGCTATGTGAACTAATAAGCTCTCTGTGCCACACGCTGTGAGAAGAAGTGTCAGTGAAATCACCTGCCTTTACATGTCGTGGTTTAAGAATGTGACCTTTGTAGCATTGAGGCAGATCCCACTGGCCTCCTAGGAAGTATTCTGTATGCGAGATCTTTGTTGCTCTCTAAAAAGAGAACCACCAAATGGATGGAGAACCAATGTGAAATAATCTCGCCTTATTATAACCGAAGGTGTTTCTTTTCTCTTTTGATGCAAAGTGCTGCTCCTACTATCCTACACAATGCTGAAATGTACGTAATGTACGTGTCCAGCTCTTGGTACCGAGAGCTCTGCTCTGTAGGTCCGCTCCAGCTGTCCTGCGTGGTTTGCTTACATGGCTCATCTCTCCTCTAGTTGGATTGCACTGACCTGATCGTGTCTGACTAGTTAAAGTACAGGTTGGGTTGAGGGAATGAAGAGCAAACTGAGTTGTGTAAAACTGTTAGGAAGAGGAGGTGCTTTCAGATATTAGTGCCCTGCTGGTCCTATGTTCTGAACGAGACTTGGCATTAGGAAGCGTTGCTTTATAGAGAGAGTGGTCAAACTCTGGAACAGGCTTCTTAGAGAGGAGGTCGATGCCCGTGCCTGTCAGTGCTGAAGAGGCACTTCGACAATGCCCTCAATAATTTGCTTTAACTTTTGGTCAGCCCTAAATCGGTCAGGCAGTTGAACTAGATGATTACTGTAGGTCCCTTACAGCTGAAATACTTTATTCTATTCTATAATTCTGTAAAAGGAGCTGGTTTCACCTCTGCAAATAGTCCATCAAAACATGCTAATACTAATCTTCATTCTTCTGAGAAGTGAAACCATCAGAGCTGGACTTTCAGATATAAAAGCCTTCGTTTTAAGATGCTGTAGCTGAAAAAAAGGCACCAAGGGGCTTTTTCTTCTTGAGTTTGGAGAGATAAATTTAGTTTAATCAATATATATGATACAGATATCAATGCAGTAGTATTTCTAGGCAGACCGACCACTCTGAACACTTCACATCGCTGATTAAGAAATGGTTTTAGTGGCTTATGTGGTTCTTGCCTGCACTTCTGGAGATCCCGAGCTATGGAAGCTAACAAGGCAGGCTACCTGCTGATACATGTTCAGCTTCAAGTATTAGCTTTGCATTAGGTGGGCGCATGCCTCAGGATCTCCAGAGATGCACGCAAGAATCAATTAAGTCATTTCTGCTTTTCGTTCAAGTTTTCCCAGCCCATCCTTCTGTCCCTTTCCTCCCACATCTGCTTCAGCTGCATGCATGGTGAGTTCCTCTGGTGGATCCGTTCTTGTAGCTCTTGGCAGCTGTCAGCCTAAAACTGCGCTCACAACTGCTGATGTCGGTATAACAGTGGGCACAAACCACCTCTGAGCAAACAGTTCAGTTTGTTCGGAGTGGAAAGTCGACCACTCTGCCAAACCTCTGGGCTTTCTGGGACAGCAGGAACTGCCCAGAGTGCCTTTCTGGCCAGTGGGGTGCTGTGATTCCCACTGTAGTCAGGCAGCATCTCTGAGTGCAGTTGCATAGATAATATTGCTCCCACTGCAACAAGCAGCCTGTTTCGTCTTCAGAAAGTCTGTCCTGTGTTTTAGGAAGACACGTTATGGGGCAGAGGAAGTTCAGGCACCAGTCAGAAGGGATCACATGGAATGAACTCTTCTGGCTGACTAAGAAACTGATGCACTAAAGCTTCAGCCGAGGGTGACAAACAGCCTGTTCGTGACATGATGAGGAGCAGCACAACCATTTGGGCTCACCTTTCTGAAATGTGGGATGAAAAGGGATTTACCTAAGAGAAATTATCCTATTTTAGAGATGGCAATGTCACACTTCTGAGAAGCTCTCAGGACTTAAAGTGGCTTGTACTAAGCAGAGAACTGGCCAAAGGGAACTGCACAGAAGTACTGAGAAACCAAAGGTCCTGATACATCAAAAAAGACAAAATAGCAACTAGCACTCTGGCACCTAGACTTTGTGCATTTTGGAGCTAATTTAGTTGTGTTAAGACTTCTACATTTACTTAGAGCAACAAGTCTGTATTTTGGTATGTTTGAGTATATACGTATATAATGCATGCCTTAGAGGTACCTTGTTCTATTGTGACGTTCTGAATGTGCTTGGAAAACTTGTATTTGCAAGGCAAAAAGAACTGGCAGGGGATGTGGAATACACATGGCTCTGCATCATGTATTTTAAAATGTTGCTTCCACTGGACTGTCTCTCACTAATCACTTGCCCCTGTTCTTCCCAGGCATTTTGTTGGTGTGTTAGACAAGGACTCTGGGCAAATGGAAGTCTATAATGCTGAAATATTCAACATGCAGCCCTTGTTGTCAGGTAGGAAGATCCTGTGTTTAACCACAGCACCAGAGTCACAGCATGCTAGGCCTGGGCATGCATTCAGCTATTAACTCCTTGGTTGCTGACAGCAGTGCTCTCTGTTGTCTCCCTGGCTGCTTGCTCTTCCTCATTTCTGCCTTATTCCCTTGGCAGGGAGGAAGGACGATACATTACACTCTTCTTCTCAGGCACTGCATGATGTGAAAAAACAGTGTCCTGGTTTTCGCTGGGACACAGATTTCTTTCTAGCAGCTAGAATTGCTCTGTATTTTGTATTTAGTATGGGATTTGTTATAAGAAGAATGTGAATAACTGCACTGATGTTTCTAGTTGACACTGAGACATCAAGGACTTTTCAGCTTCCCATGTTTTTGCCAGTGTGCAGAAGCACAACAGGCTCGGGGGGACCATAGCTGGGGCAAAGGGTCTACTTTGGTAGTCCAAACTACCCTTAAGAGTTGAACTTAGACTTAGGATTGACTGGTAAGTTCACCAGTGGAGCATTCCATATCATGCAACATCATGCACAGTATATAGATGAGGGTTGACCAGGGAGTTTGGAATTCTCTTCTGTGGGTCTCTTGGAGTTCTCTCTCTCTCTCTCTCCCCCCTCCCTTTTCGAGCCTCTCACTTGTCTGGGATTGCAGTGTTGGGACTTACTGTGTCAGGGTCGCGTGCTGGGATGGGGCAGGTGTTGGTCACCGGGTGGTGAGCAGTTGTACTGTGCATCACTTGTTTGTATGTTTGTATGTATTATTATATTTATAATAATATGTATTCATATACTATTGTATTTTTTATTTTTTTTATTGTTACTGTTATTGTTGTCATTATTATTAAATTCATCTTATCTCAACCACGAGTCTCCTTCCCTTTTCCCCTTTAATTCTCTTCCTGTTCGCCATGGGTGAGGGAGGGTGAGTGAGCAGCTGCATGGCATTTAGTTGCCAGCCAGAGAAAGAAGGAAGTAGGGTGAAATTTAGGCTGGAGTTTAAGCAGAGAGCATTACAGGTGGGAGGATGGAAATGCTGCAGTCAGTAACAAATTGTCACTGTTCAGAATAAGTTCAGCCTTGTCTAGGCATGCTCTGCTGAGGGAAGCAGGAAATTGTTGGGTCAAGGGACTGGAAAGCAAAGCAGCTTTTCTTCAGCAGAACTGCGTTTTGTTACTGAACCCAGGACGATAATCCAAAGAATACGGTCTTTTGGGAGCTTATTTTTGTTCGGTGCAGCAGGACCTGGGTATAGCTGTAATCCATGAGTTACGCTCATAGGCTGTATAGCAAAACTTGGCCTGCTTTTCCGTTTTTGTTTTGGGTGCATACTCTTATATTCAGTGTGTTCTTTAATTGACAAAGTCCTGTGGAGGAGATCTTGAAGTGCCGTGCCAAGTCTTTGAGTAATAAATCAGAGTGAAAGTGATACCGAATATGTGTGTTGTCCTGGCTGCTGCAAGCCAAGCATACTAACTTTTGTTCTTTTTGTAGATAACTTAATACCTGATGACACGAAGGATTATCAGAATAAATCCTACAGGGAGAAGGTAAAGTTGAAACCCCATGTCAAATTCTGCTGTGATTATCCAGCTGACAGTGGCAGATGATACTTGTCTGAGACTGATGTTTGGTTTACTGCAGGGTAAACCTGTGCAAGTTCAGCACTCTCTCTGTGCCCTGGAGATCTATGAGACAGTATGTTACTAGTGCCTAACTTGACAGTATTTTCATAATTATTTCAGACTTGAATACTGTGCCAGTTACTTCTTGCCCCCTTGCAGATCAGTGCTTATCATAGGGTTGGGTTGTGCCAGTGAAAATATTTGAAGTTTTCCTAGAGAATGTGAGTGTGGAACAAGTGGTGATTAGCTGAGTTTTCCTCTTAGATGCAAAATGTCTTCAGTTCAGCAGCGTGTTTTAATTTGCCTCTCTCTTGTACAGATGGATTTGTGCATTGAGGCCTTTGGTACCAGCAAGCAGAAGCGAGCTCTGAACTCTCGGCGAATGAACGCAGTGGGCAATGATATTCTGAATACTGCTGTGACAAAAGCAGCAGCAAACATTATAGATGCAAAGGGAGTAACAGGTAAGAATGTTGTCTCAGGATTTTATGAAGGCAATCAGAAGTGCCCTTTTCTGTCTGTTCCTTGCTGAGTATGATAGGAAGAAGACGACATTTTTTTCTAGTGACCAAGGAAGCAGCTGGCTTAATAGCTGAGAAGGGCACGTGTGGAGGAATTCACAGATCTTTCTGGTGGAAAAGGAATTGCTTCCTTTTGGTCCTGCTAGACTTAGTGTGGGAGTTGGCTGAAGTCCCTGTGGTATCGATGTCCATCCCTGCCCATTCTTGGGAGCTCTTCTGGGAGTCCCTGGATGTTGGGGATAAAGGCAGTACATTGACCTGGTCTGAAGTGAGATGCTGAACGTTCATTAAGGTGAACTGTACCCTGGCTTCACAGTGGAATGTCTATGGAAGATGGTCCATGACCTAAACCGGGTCACAGCCTCATCAGTGCTGTTGTGATCCAGGCTGATGGACCTAAATCTGTTCTGCTATGGAGGAGCCTGCAGGAAAGAGGTGTCTGCTGTGGCCTTAGTTATTGTCACTACTCAGGGAAAGTTCACTCTCCAAAGCATCACAATGAGGTGGTGTTTCAAGGAGAGTTGATAACCCTGCTGCTGAATGCTGGTGAGACTGCGTCCGTATTGGGTTATCCAGCCTGTGCCACCTACCTACATGCCTGCCCTCATCAAGAAGGTGGTGGAGAAATGCCAGAGGAGTCAAGGCAGGGCAACAAGAACAGGCAGGGTCCTGGAGCACACAACTGACAAGGGAGCTGGGCTTGGTTAGTCTGAGAAAGAGGAGGCTAAGGGGGACCTAACAGCAGCCCACAGCTGCCTGAAGAACAGAGAGAGCCAAACCCTTCTCAGCAGTGCCAACAAGGGTCAAGAGCACAAGTTGCAGTGGTCCCTGGACCCTGAGAAGTCCGTGTGGGAGACTTGCCTTGGAGGGTGGTGCAGCCCTGGAATAGGTCACAGAGCAGTGCGGAGTCACCATCCTTGGGGTTTTCTAACCTTCGGCGGGACAAAACCAGGGCTGTTCTGATCTAGAGCTATGACAGTTTTACTCTGAGCAGGAGGTTGGACAGGAGACCTCCAGAGCCCCTTTCCACCAGCACTACTGGGATTCTGAGTTTCATTGGCTATGAATGGGAAAGAGAGAACCCGTCAACTCTCATCCGTTGTGTTCCAGGATGGATATTGACTGTGCTCTCAAAGCCACCTTGTGCCAAATGAATGTTCAGTGGAACCCAGGCTGCCAAAACCGTATTCTGCCCACCCTGCAGGCAAGAGGCAGCAGCAACCTGTTTGTCTTGGTGCAGTTCTTTCGGAGATTTTTTTTTTTTTTTCCTAGTCTGAAGTGTCTTTTCTAGATTTTAAGGAGCAGCAAGTTCTTGGTAGAAGTGATGACACTGATCTAAAACCCAGCATGCTCAGTGTATAGCAGGTGCTATGTATATATATATCTATCTATCTATCTATATATATATATATATATCTATCTCAGAAGCTTTCAGCCTTTCTGTGCCTACGGAAATGCTTTCTGCACAGTCAGCACCTACATATACATATATGTATATATACATATGTACATACATATGTACATACATATGTATATATACATATATACTACATATAGTGGTGACAAAACAAAACAGGGAAGAGCTGTAGCCTTTTCCTTACTACTGTCTCTAATGAGATAAACTGAACTGGAGTTTAAAACTCCAGCTGTGACTAAACTGTTGTTGATCCAAGAACCACTATTAAGTAGACTATGTTTAAAGGAAGGATTTGAGTTGTGGTCATGCTCTCTCTGTTTTTGTTTGCATGGTCCAAATATTTTCTTCTTTCCTGCTTCCCTCCAAAGGTTTGATCCAGGATGTGGCCCAAGATGACGTACAGAACATCTCCGTCTTCCTCCCACCGTGTAATGAAGATGCTGACAAACCAGAAAATGTTTACAAGTTTGAGGACAGTATCTTTTCTGTGGCAAAGTGGTCCCCCACACCTGTAAGCCTTGATGTTAGTGGTCTGGCACATAGAAGAGAGTGCTTCTAGGCGTGTGAATGAGCCAAGCCTTCTCCATTCGCAAGCCAAAGGATGAGAGCAGGGACATGCTGTGTTGAAATTTTTTTTGGCCTGCAGGTCTCATATCCTGCCTCTTTCCTACAGAGAGCAGGGTGCTGTGCCTCCCTGTTGGCAGCAGTTTGGCTGTGAATAGTAATGAGGTCAGCCACACAGGAGAAATGACTTGTGGTCAAGTCCTTTAGAGACCTTTGCCATTGGCCAGCTTCCTAGTCTTGTCGTTATGTTCTGCCTATTTAGAATTTCCTTCCCTCCTTCCCGGCCCCAACACCTCTTAAAGCAAGAGTGGGTAGAGCTTACCTCTCTGCGGGCTGTTCAGACCAGAAGGGAGAGCAAAGGCACTCTTGTTCTTTTCTTTAACATCCTCCCAGTTCTGTCCTCAGCAGAGTATGAAGCGTTGCGGGTTCCAGCAGCAGTCTTTGTTAACATCACTCCAGAAGAAATCACCAAGAAGACAGAAGATAAAAGGTAATGCTGCTGCAAACAGCTTTGTAATAGTCAAGCTGGGCCCTGTGAAACTAGTTTTCAATGGGGCAGGATGGCTACTGCAGCCAGCTCTGCAATACTCAGATACTCAGGCTGATCTTCTCAGTGCAGAGGGAGGACATTTGATCCAAGCACGGTGTGGCAGCACCTAACTTGGGGAAGGTGTGGTGCAGTTTCACAGGTGAGGAAGTTGTGTGCGTAGCAGCATGGCTGTCCCTTGGGGAACCAATTGCACAGGAAGAGAGTGGAGAAATCCAAAGTGGGGTCTGAAGGCAAGTATGTAGAAGGGGGACCACAGAGCTGTTCTGAGCATGGTATGGTGGCTAGGCACTGTCCAAGCTGAGTACTGACTTGCTGTGGATGTTGCTGTGACTCTGCAAGCTGACATGGGCATACACTTAGAGCTGTTAAGCCCCCTTGTGCTGAGGGGCTGAAGTGAGCAGGAAAAGCACAAACTGCACCTTACTCTCTGTCCTTCCTTTCTGCCTGTGCCAAAGTAGAAGTGTGTGCGCCACGTTCAGAGCCTGCAGTTTCTGCAGTGCAAGTACCTTCTTAGTAGCTGCACACTGAAAGGGGCTGGCTGAACATGGTGGTCATTGACAGGAAAGTGTCCTCATAAAGCAGCTTTCTGGGCTGTCCTTTATAGATGTCCAGGGAACTCTTCTCAGACAGCTGAGCATTGGAGTTACAGGAGTGTCCCATCCTCCTCATGATGTAAACTGGTTCCTCTTTATTTGAGGCTCATCTTTCTCCTCTCTCCTTCAGCCATTGCTCCTTTGTTTTAGAGGAGCTGAAGTTCCTGCCTGCTGATGAGAAGAGCAGAGATCACAAAGCCCGATGCCTCTGGTTCCTAGACACCCTTATTAAGTTCAGCTACCTGAAAGTGATCAAGAAAAAGCGTAAGACAATTTTCAGCTCCTTCACTTTTAATCACCTGCTGAGACTTGGTCTGAAATTACTTCAGTAGCAAACAGTTAACGCTGCCCAGCATGAGCTGTGTGATCAAACGGCTGCAGCAGTTGCTTTCAGCCTGTTTCATGCTGAGGCTGAAGATCTCCATCTTGTTGAGGGTTGTTAGATCTGCATCTGCTGGAGGATGTATGTCTGTCTATTCTTTTTCAGTCTCTTTCAGCTCTCTCCCTCATCCAGCCTACATATTCCAGGTGCAAGAGGCGTACAGTGCACAATACATCCTTTGTATCTCTTTTTGTGCTTTGAGAATCAAGAATGTTTTTATCATCCTTTGCTTTATAGCTCAATGCGTGGATCACAGTGAGGATACCTCTGTTGTTTTCGTGATCTTGTGTTTAATATGGCAGGAACTGCTGTTGTCAAAAGCACTGCACAAAATATTTTGGTTGAGATTTTCAGGACTTGCTGTCTTCCATAGAACTTGTGTATCTGAGCCTCCTTGTCAATGCTGAAAATGTCATCATTAGCATTTTCAATGGCAGGAGGGTGGTGGAGGAGGAAATGGTAAGCCAAGCTGCATTGCTGGAGGCTCAGGAGTCCCCCTGTAGGACTTAGCCAAGGAGCATGTGGAAATGAGTAGTCTTGGTGGTGAAGAGAATTTGTTAGTGTGGTTTCAATTTTAATAATACTTTGTGACAGGACTGTCTATTAAAAGGCAGTAATCTATTAAAGAAATATATGCATAGGTGCATGTGTATGCATTTTAGATTGTGTTGTACTCAAGTGGGAGATCCCATTTGTAAAGAAGCTAAAAGCTGTTAGGAGTCTTTCTGACCTGAAAAATGATGGCACCTAGAAATCAAGTGCCCAGGTTCTCCATGTTCCTTGGAAGAGGCAGTAAGTGCCCTGGTAGTAAATGTGCTATTGTGATGGCTGGAGATTGGCAGTAGAACGAAGAGTACGTGTTTCTCATTCCATTGGAAAATCTCTTTCTGTCCTAGATCCAATGGGTCCTGAATGCCCACACGTTATTAGCAGGAAACTCATGAAGAATTTCACTTCACTGACCTACAACAATGGCAGGTAAGGAACAATGTTTGCTCTGATGTTCTTGAGGCAGAGATGCAGCAGAGTTCAGCTTGAAAAGAACGTCCCGCCAAAATGGAAGATAGCAGTAGCTTCTTTTGCTTCACAGCCCCAGCCCTGTAGAACACTGGGTCGTGGCTGATGATAGTCCATTTTAGACAGTCCAGGTCTAAAATGTGACTGGGAGAAGCGGAGCCATGTGTGCAAAAGCAGGCCTGCACCTGTGGATTTAGCTAGCGTGACTGCGTAGGGTGCCCAGCCATCTGCCTGACGACTTCTGGATGCAGGATGGCAGGAAGGATACTTGCTTTGCAGCTGACTCTGGGCTGTGCAGCTAAACAGGCAACTGTCCATATGTACATTCTCACTGTGAACCGAGGCAGCTGACCAGCTGATGGATGCGTCAGCTCTTTCACCATTCCAGAGTGGGTCAGGACAGAGCTAGTGTAATGACTAAATAATGGTAGTGGGGGTTTTTGTGGTTGGTTGTTTTTGGTTTTGTTCGGGTAGTTCCATTGGCGTAACAAGGGTGCCTTTACATGAACCCAGACCTGACTTGACTTATTTGGATTCTCCATTGAAACCTACACAGGCAAAAACTGCATAAATATTTGCACTAGTTAACTTGCTCTGGGCTGACATCCATACCATTGCACTCATATGTATGCACGCTGAGGAGTTCTGCCTAAGCTTTGCCCAGGCATTGTCCTGCCTGCCAGCAGTGACAAAGTTTGATGTAGTAAGATAGAATCTGGTCCTGCCATGAAGATCAGGCAGGAGAAGCCGCCAGTCCCACTGGGAAGCTCCTGCGATGTCATCCTTTCCAGCAGTGTCCGAGAGCCGCTTGTGTGGTGCTAAGTGCTGTCTCACTGCAGGGAGGACATCAGGCAGCTGTTGGAGGCTGCCTTTGACCAGATGGCCCTTGGTTGCAGCCTTAAGAAGGATGCCACTTAGAACTAGGCAGTTACAAATCTGGATAAACGTTTTCAGCAATCCTGTTGAGTGAAAGCACCAAAGTACAGGCAAGAGTGAATAGCATCCTCCCTCTTGCCACAGTGCCTTCCCCACACTCAGAGAGCCAACAGCCTCTCTCCTTAGAAAGGGCATAATGTCTATGCTCAGCTATCGCACAGCTGTGCTGCCGCTTTTGGTCTGACATGAGCAGAGAATTTGAGTCCAGATGGGCCAGCATTTGTCTGAAGGTGATAAACATTCAAATGCTCTTAGAGGATTGCCAGCCAGGGATCTGCTTTTTGTGGACTGGGTATTTGACGTGCCATTAGAAGTTGCACTGAACGCCCTGTGAATAGCTTCCATTTGCTTTCCTCTTGCAAGGGACCAGCCTCCCAAAGAGGCTGAAGTGCCATTAGTTGGTGTTTTTGTTGAGGCTGCATAGTGATTAAACAACCCCAGGGACCTGCACTTCTGAACAGAAACAGGGGCATATGAGGAGGACAAAGCCTGTCAGGCACCTGTGATCGGAGGTCTCTGTTGCTTTGAGCTTTTGGTGTCTAGGAAGGTTAGTCATGTCTAACTGGGCCTCCAGTTCTGTCTGTATCTCATGGGGGTTGTGTTTTGAGTTCACTGATGCTCCACATCTCATGTGTTTTTCCTCTTGCCATGCAGTGTCCAGAATTTAATCTCTGCATCAATGAAGGCTAAAATCACAGCATATGTTATTGCACTGGCTCTGCATATTAACAACTTCCAAACAGACCTCACCATCCTGCAGAATGACATGAAGCTCCAAGAAAGCAGGTGAGTCATCATGTTTGTTCATACCTGCTGAGATAGGCTGTGATCCTACTGCAACGAGCCCCTGGGGAGAGAGCTCTGGAGTCTCTCTGGCACCTGGGTAGTACAGTGATACCTGCTGGTGAGTCCCTTTTGCTGTAACTGGACTCGTGTTTTCCAACTGTGTTGAAGCTTTGTTTTGAAGCCCTGATGCTCCTAAAGGAGAGTGGTTATACCTCTCAAACTTTGAAAGGGTGCTTGTTGCAAAGAGGTCCCCAGGTTCATCAGGAGGCTCTTCAGTGATTCTGCAGAGAAGGAAACTGAGGCAGGCAGCACCAAAACGGGCAGCTGGGGCAGATTCCAGGACAAGACCTATCCACTGCCACCCAGCCCATTCTTGCCTCATAAATCACATCACTCTTCACCATCCTGTCCTCTGTGCCCCCTCTTCCTGCAGATCGCCAGTCCCTGTCAGATGCCAGTCTGGGTATAGTGCAGGTTTGCAGCTGACTGCAACAGGAAAACTAGAAACAGGGATATTTTTTCTTTTCCCCCTCACGATTGCACTGTGAGCATCTAGTTGGTGTTTACATAGAGGAATCTCAGGCCTCTGAAATCTCCCCGCTCTGGGCTTGGCACCTTGGAGATTGTTTTTGTTTCTGAAATACTGATGGACTTGGGGATGTTTCAGCAAAGCATCACAGGGAGAGGTTGAATGCAGAGCTGCTGAGTGTAGCGTATGAGAAAAGGATTTGCCAAATCAGGGTTAGTGAAGGTGAATGCGTAGAAAACAGCTTGCAGAATAAGCTTCAAGGCAAATGACCCTTGCTGTGTTAGCTTTTAGGGCAGTTGCTCCCTAGACTTGAACTTTCCGTGGAAGAGTACGTTCCATGCACCCACTGTTGGCTGCAGGACCTGCCTGTCCCAGCAGGTGTCAGCCGGAGGCTGCTGCCAACTGCTCCGGCTCTGGGGTGCTCCACTGCGGTTTGTGCAGTCCCTCTGGCACCCGCAGACTACATCAGGAACTGAGTGGAGTGGCTCAGACAGCCCACGGTGCTTCCTAGGAAGTCTCCCAACAAGCAGACATCTGCGCAGCGGGCAGCTTGTTAAGTCTGCCTGGGAAGGGGTCAGGTGGCCCCATTAGTGACTGTTCAGCCAGTCAGTACTGTCTCTCTCCCATTCTGTCCTGTTCTGCGGTGATGGTGACGCCAAGAACACGTGCTTCCTAGGTCAGTCACATTGATCTTTCTCAGCAGCATTGTGTTAGAGGTTGTGCAGCCAGGTAGGCACTGCAGAGGGACACATACTGTTTGCTGCAAGGGAGAAAAACATTGTGGACTATCCTGAGGTTTCTGGCTGAGGGATGTAATGTAATGTCCTGTAATAACTGGAAGTTACGTAAGTCCTTAGTCACCTCGTGGTTTTGCAAGCTCCCTAGTCAGCCTTCATCCAATGACTTCTGATTTTGCCCCAATTATACTCTTTATTCTATGATGGGTAGTAGTGGGCTTAACAGCAGTGTTTGCTGCTGATTTCTAGCTATTTTTTTCTTTCCTTTTTTTTTTTTTTTTTCTTTTTGGAACTAAGCATTTTAAGGAATCCATGTTGTTTTCACAGTTGATGCCCTGGTTTTGTTCTTAACTGCTGTACTGGAGCTGGGAGCACAAGGCATAGGATGCTGTTGAGAAAAGGGTGGAGGAGGCTGGGACCTGTTGGAAAAATTGAGGAGCCCTGAGCCATCTGATAGGATGATCCTTGCTTGGAGTAGGAGGTTTGACTGAGTCATAGAATCACAGAATCATAGAATGGTTAGGGTTGGAAGGGACCTCAAAGATCATCTAGTTCCAACCCCACTGCCGTGGGCAGGGAAACCCTCCACTACACCAGGTTGCCCAAAGCCTCATCCAACCTGGCCTTGAACACCTCCAGGCATGGGGCATCCACAGCTTCTCTGGGCAACCTGTTCCAGTGCATCACCACCCTCTGAGTGAAAAATTTCTTCCTTAGATCTGATCGAAATCTCCCCTCTTTCAGTTTAAATCCATTGCCCCTTGTCCTGTCACTCCATACCCTTGTAAAAAGTCCCTCTCCAGCTTTCCTGTAGGTCCCCTTTAAGTACTGGTAGACTGCTATAAGATCACCCCGGAGCCTTCTCTTCTCCAGGCTGAACAGCCCCAACTCTCTCAGCTTGTTTTTCATGGCAGAGGTTCCCCAGCCCTCAGATGATCTTCATGGCCCTCCTCTGGACTGAATCTGTTTGTATTTCAAAGATAATAAAGTCAGCTGGGAGGATTCTGAGACTCGTGTGTTCTCAGGACCCCAGCTGAGGCCAGGACACCCATTTCTCTGCTAGCTTCCGTCTGGTTGTGCTTTGTTCTCTCTGTTTGACAGGCCTCCAGGTGTGTTCCGGCTTGTGCCTTCTTGCCCAAGCTTTTTGCACCTCACATCTCAGCCAAATCCCTCTTCTTACAGCTAAGGATGCTGAATTTTAGTGGCTAAGAGGAGATGTTCTTCTGTACTAAGTTCCATTCATGGTACCACACATGGGAGACGAGTGCACTGGGAAGCAACCATGGGCTGCTAGCAGCAGTAGCAGCTGAACACCAATGATGCCTGTTCTCTTCGTAGGGAAGTGGACAGTAGCATTATTTTTTTCCTCAAGTCATCTGGCCATTGAGTAAGGCAGCGTGGGTTTACAGTGCTCTCTGAGGTGGTGGTGCACAGTTCAGTAGCATTGTAGCTTCCCTGGGAAGGCTCTACCGCGTAGTCATTGAATAATTCCAGCTTCTGTCTCCATGGTATCCTTGAGATGCAGAGAATGCACCCTGCTCACTGGTGCCTCCAGACTTCTCCTCTGAGGCAAAAGGCTGTTGATCTTTTGTGCTGTGTTATGGTACAGAAGACCTGTGTGCCCCACTAACACAGCATCTCTCTGGTGTTTTTCAGGATGATGGACATCGCAAAGGCTATGCGGTTGAAGGTCTCCAAGGCAAAGGGGCTGCCTGGACTTGAGAATGATGAGAACCACAAGCTGGGCACTCTGTCTCTTCCCTTGCCTGTGCAGAAGGCATCAGGGAACCAACGGAAGCGCAAGAAAATGAACTAAAACGTCTGAGCAGGGGCGAAACAGTTCCTTTCTCAGCTGCTGTTCTGTGCACAGAGCATCATGGGGATACTTTTGCCTGTTGCATTTGGCTGTCTAGCATCAGCATGTGACTTCTGAAACCCTGTCTTGAGGCTGGGCTGGAACAGATGTTCACCTCATTAAACTGCTGCTTTTTTCTATTGATGTAGAAAAAGCTATAACAAAACACGTCTTTATTCTTGTCTGTATGAGGGGAGAAAGAATGTAGGTCGTGCTGGAGCAAGAGAACACGGTTTGAAACTGAAGATCCTCCGCTGAGTGCTGTCTCGTTGGTTCTGGCAGTGACCTGTCGGCTCGTGGCCCATTTTACCCCTTTTTCACAGGTGCAGAGTAGAAAGCGTAGAAAGGGGCAGACTAAGCAAAGCATCGCTTACACACAAGTTTGGCTCTGTGTGTGTTTGCTTCTCTAGAGATTCAGTGTTGTTCCTCTGTGTTGGAAAAGTGCAAAGGTGCAACACAGGCAAAATATTTCTGCCACTTTCCCTATCCTGGCTTCTTGCCTGGAGCAGGGAGAATTCTGCTGACTCAAGAGCTGGTGTCCTCTTCAGAAAGGGTTTTTAGTTTAAATCCACAGCTGTGGATTCCCAGTCCTTTGGGAGAGAGACTTCTGGGCTAGTTTTGCTGCATTTGTAAGGCTGCTGGACTGTAAGCCTTACGGCAGGTGTATACTAAGCGAGGTTGTAGGAGTCTGGGGCTTGTGAAAATCTGAGGATCACCTCCAAGAGAAAAAGCTTATGTGAAACAGGAGGAGCATGGGATGTCAAGAGCAGTCTTCTCTTTGAGGTGTCTTTGCTTCAGGCAGTAATTTGTGTTTAGTACATCCGTATCCCAAGGGTAACTCCTTACATGCCTTAATGACCCACTATTCACAGCTCTCATTAGAAGTGACACAAACATCCAGTTTTCTGGGTAGAGGATAATTCGTGTCATGGGAATTACAGGCTACAGATAATCAATAGAAATGTTTTTGTCACAGAATGGTTCGTGAAACTCCGCAACCTCCCTGGGCAACCTGTGCCAGTCCTCGGTCACCCTCCCAATAAAAAAGTGTTTCCTGATGTTCAGGGGGAGTCTCCTGTGTTTCAGTGTGTGCCCATGGCCTCCGGTTCTTTCGCTGGGCACCACTGGAAAGAGCCTGCCTTGTCTTCTTGGCACACTCCCTTCAACTGTTTGTAGACACAGATGAGAGCCCTCTGAGCCTTCCTGAGTGGTCCAAGCCTTTCCTCCTAGGAGAGATGCTTCAGTCCTGTCATTGGACTCTGCAGTCTGTCCATGTCTCTCTTGTACCGGGGAGCCCAGAACAGGACACAGCACTCCTCACCAGTGCTGAGCAGAGGGGAAGGATCACCTCCCTCGATGTGCTGGAGATGGTCCTAATGCCAGTCAGGACACCATTCGCCTCTGCTGCAAGGGCATGTTTCTGGTTCATGAATACATGCAGTATTCACCAGGACCTGCAGGTCCCTTTCTGCCAAGTTGCTTTCCAGCTGGACAGCCCCCAGCATCTCCTGGTGCATGGGGTCCTCCCAGGTGCAGGACTCTGCACTTCCCCGTGTTGAACTTTGGAAGCTTCTGACTTACTGAGGCCTTTTTGTTGGCTCTTCAGTAGAGTGAATTTGCTCAGGGAGTTGATCGGGCTGAAAGCACTTTGTGGGTTTTTTTAATTCTCATTAGGATCCAGTCTTCTGCCTATCAGAGCTAGCAGCTCTGACTTAGACTGGTAAGATATAAAAGAGATAGATATAAAATTAGTTTATCTTATCCTCTTCATCCAATTCTAGCTCATTGTTGCTGTGTTTCAGATGGTTGATGTGGGCAGGAGAAGGGGAGCAGACATGGATCACCCTGACAATGCCATGGGGTTTTAGATGAAAAGTTATGTGCTGTTGCAAAGCTGCTTGTGTGCCAAGGCGAGCAGAGAAGTAGAAGGCAGAAGCAGTTGCCTGACCAGCTGAGCAAGAAGTGATGCTCTTTTCCATGATTTAGAGCCACTTGCAACAGCGATGAGGATGTTGATAGCCTCCCTTGACATTACTGCTGTGTGCAGCAGAGCCTGTTCTGACTGCCTCCGAGAGCAGCACCATTGATTCGGGGAAAATGAGTGCTAATTTAGTCCGAATGGGAGAATGAGTCATCTGCAAAGTGTCTCACTATGAGCTGCTGCACTTTGGAAACCAGCTATTTGCCTTCCCAATAGCACAGCAGAGTTCTTTGCTGTATGGAAGGAAGTACCAAGGCAGGGATGTGGCAGTGGGGGAAGGGAGATGCCCCGCAGCGCTGCACAGCCCCCACTGAAACAGGCAGGGCAGGTCTGCAGGCAGGTCCTGCAGAGCAGACTCTTACCGGATATGAACCACATCGAGAGGAAGGTAGCCTAGAGGGAATAAGAGCCCCCAGTGGAGTACTCTCATCCCTGTCCACATCGTGGAGAGGGGAGTGTGAGTAGATGGGCTGATCCCTGGGAGGCAACAGGAAAGGTCGAAAGGAGAAGCCCAGTAGTGGTGGGGAAAGATACTTTGCTGGAAATAAGGAGAGGTTTTCTAACTCTGCTCGACTTTCCAGGGTCACCTTACTTGAGAGCACATCCTGGACAGGACAGGCTGGGAGAAAGGCTGTGCACTTCTCTCCCGAGGCCTGTGTGCAGGCTGCCCTGTGGGAGAGTGATGGGCATGGCAGCTGCAGGGGAGAGAGAGATAGCCCTCAGTGCCAGCCAGACAGGCTGGCGGGAGCAGGAGGGCCACAGCCGCAGCTTTCCTTGGACTGCCACCGAATGGCTCTGAGCCCGTGCTGCAGAAACACCGTGCCTGCTCACAGGCTGCTGCTCTGCAAGCGTGTGCTGTAGCCAGGCAGCAGCATCATGCGTGAGCCAGGACAGAAGGAGAGGAGTCAGGACTATGACGGGTTGCATTATCATCTGTGTCTGAGTGGGACCATGTTCCCGTGGGAGCCGGGAGGATCCCGCGGCTGCCTGGTTTGAAGCTCTCCCCACTGCTCCTCTGCCACCACCCCAAGATGACTCCAGTACTTCACTAGCGTACAGATGGCATTATAGTCCTCTCGATAAGGTGTCTGGCCACCAGATAAAAGGCTCTGTGAAATGGGCTGGGCACAGGCTCTTACTCTCACACCCAGGGCTCTGTAGGACATTGTTGGGTTGGAGTCAGCTTCTCTTGGCAACGTTGCCCTATTGTCTCACGACTGATTTCTATACAGACAGCAGGAGGCGGACACTCAGCTTTCCCCAGTGCTGCTTTTCTGGAAATGCTGAGCTCTAATTAACTTGCAAGCAGACGAATGCACTCTTTGAGCAAAGCAAAATGCAAGGTCTGTGCTGTGACAAGAAGTGGTTGTGCAGGTCGTGTGTGTGCACTAGCTTTGCACAAAGTTCAGGTGGTGAAAAAGCCAGCGGAGCTCCAGATTATGCCCTCAGCAAGTTGCTGGGTCGGGTGGCTGGGGGCTATTACCCACTGTGTCACAAAAAGCACCTGAATTGGGGGTTTGCCTAAGTGCAGCAGCACCCCGTGCTGCTTCCGTTTTGCTCTATAACCTATCCACTGTAATATGAGAACATGAGAACATTTTGTGAATTCCAGAGAAAATTGATTAATGAATGCCCACTGAATTCTCTCCATACAAGGAGAGAATACTACTTTCTGACTTCGTGTGTGAAAGTCCTAACTGTACTGACCAGTCAGGGTCTCAAGTATGTTTGACGTAAAATTGGAAGATTAATTGGGAAAGCTAACTTTGTTTTTGCTTGTCTTGTAAAGATGAAGTCAGTATAGAATCATAGAATGGCATAAGCTGGAAGGGACCTCAGAGATCATCTAATCCAACCTCCCTGTCATGGGCAGGGACGCCTCTCAACTAGACCAGGCTACTCAAGGCTCCATCCAACCTGGCCTTGAACACCCCCTGGGAGGGGGGATCCACAACTTCTCTGGGGAATTTATTCCAAAGTCTTACCACCCTCGTACTAAAGAATTTCTTCCTAAGATCTAATCTAAATCTGTTCTCCTTCAACTTAAACCCATCCCCCCTTGTCCTATCAGTGGACACTCTTGTAAAAAGTCCCTCCCCAGCCTTCCTGTAGGTTCCCTTCAGGGATTGGAAGGCAGCTATTAGGTCTCCCCAAAGTCTTCTCTTTTCAAGGCTGATCAATCCCAGCTCCTGCAACCTGTCCTCGTAGCAGAGGTGCTCCAGCCCCTGGATCATCTTTGTGGCCCTCCTCTGAACACGCTCCAACAAATCTATGTCTCTCTTATGGTGGGGACACCAGAACTGGGGGCAGTATTCGAGGTGGGGTCTCACAAGAGCAGAGTAAAGGGGGAGAATCATCTCTCTTGACCTGCTGACCATGCTTCTCTTGATACATCCCAGGATGTGGTTGGCCTTCTGGGCTGCATGAGTGCACTGCTGGCTCATATTGAGCTTCTCATCTATGAACATTCCAATTTTTCCATAGTGATTGATGGCACAAATATTAACATTTGAAGACAATATTTGAACTTTGTACTTCCAGCTCAACCTGTTGAAAGTTTAAGGATACTTGATCACGTGACCTCTTCCAGGTCTTTCTTCATATATTGACATTAACTGCATGCTCATACTCTGCTGTGTGAAGTGAGTTAACCTATATATATTTTGTGAACGATTTTCTGTATGCCTGCTTGACAGCCTGTGGATCCTCCATGGGGCATTTTGCTGGCCTGAAGTGCAAAAAGCACAGAATGAAAAGGACATTAAAGCTATTGTAAAGATCCCATATCTTAGTGGGTTTTGTTTGTTTGGGTTTTCTGGGGTCTGGCTGATGGGATTCAGAAGCCTCTGGGAAGTGCTGGAGCACGCTGCCCAAGAAAGTGGTTGAGTCACCATCCCTGGAGGTGTTTAAAAGGTGTTTAAAGCTGTGGTGCTTAGGGACATGGTTTAGTGGTTGACTTGGCAGCATTAAGTTAACAGACTTGATGGTCTTCAAGGCCTCTTCCAACCTAAATGACTCCATGATTCTAAGTGCCGGCACAGAGAGATGTTCTCTTAAACCC